CCGCCTCGGCCCTCAGCCGCCGCCGTTCCGCTGCCCCCGGCCCGGTTCCCCTCAGCCGCCCCCGCCACCCTGCCGCCTCGTCTCCCCGGCAATTACGCCTTTCATTAAAAAAGGCAGCCTCATTAAGGCCGGCGGGCCGAAGGGCAGGGGGAGCAGTACCCTGCCTGGTGGTTCATTTCCACGGTTCTCTCTGCCGAGCCTTTAGCACCGAGCTCCAGGTGCGAACGCAGACCCCGTCCGCCTCACGCTTCGACGACTGAAAACGTGACAGAAAACGCGGCGGTTCATGGCGGTTACATGCCCGCCTGTGAAGCGCCTTCGCTCCCCGAGGAGCCCGCCGTGCCGCCCCGGCACACACGGGGGGAACAAGCTTGTTCGGCGCCGAAACGGGGCCGCCTGCGGGGTGGAAAATGGCAGCCACCCCGCAGCGCACGGTAGCGATTCCCCTCTCGAAAGGTGTAAGGGATGCCGTGGTGGGCTCAGGCTACCGTGGGGGGTTAAATGTCACCTGTAAGTCAACCCGTAACTTCAGTTCGTCCTTCCTCAGAAGTCAGGTGAAAGGGGAGGAAGGCAGCGCAGCTCCCAAGGGTCACCGGCCATAGGTGAAGTTCAGCATTCCCCAAAAGCCTTCTAAGTCCTGCGTCTGCTGGAGCTCCAGGCAAGGAAACGGGCTTGGGCATCTGCTTCCTCAGTTCAATAACCAACAGAAGACACTCAGCTGGGTTTTGCCGTAACAAGCATCTAGATAATACTTTTTTTTAAACTGAGCTTTTTACCAGCTGATATAATACATCAACAGTCTTATATACCCATGAAGATGAAATACACAATACGATTAAACGGAAGTCCCATATGTTTGCTCAGAATCGCTAAATAAACTCGCTGGTGCAAAGCTAGAGAGGACAGTGACTCCCGCCCCGTGCGAGTGAAAAGGCAGAGCAGCCGGGCTGCGGGGCTGGGAAGAGTCTGCTTTCTGTCGGTGAGCCTGGGAAGGGGATCCACCAGCTCAGGCAACGGCCTTTCAAAGGAAGAAACTCTCCTGCCAACTCTTGGCGAATGAAGAAATGTGCAGAGAATTTAATTCTAAAAGCTTTTTACGCAGAAACCCTCCAAGAAATGTTGTTAGGAGCTACTAAAAGCATAAGTGAGCTTGTGATGGGTAGAAGATAGCATTAAACTGAGAAGATGGGGTCAAGGAAAGGGTTCCCTTCCCGTGCCGGGGTACACCCTTGGTATGACAAGAGCCCTGTGCTTAAGGGTTTGGGGTGCTGCTGATCCTTGTCTACTAAAGCTTTCGTTGAAGAAGTCGCCGCAGTGCCTGCGTGGTAGGAGCCCGCTCCGAAGCTGTGGCACACAGGCGGTTTTACAGTGAGAGTAAGGTATTTCCTGCTGGCTCTCCGCTGAACTTGTGGAAATCGGGATTGAAGCTGGGGGTGGGGGATGCCTGATGACGGCAATAAAAATAAATTGCTATTGCCGGGGTAGGTGGACCAGATCAGATAGCACTTCCTATAGGGGCTGGAGACACGTCAGCCAAGTTCATCCTGAGCATGCATTAACCATTAATAGCATTGCAGAGGGAAAAGGGAGAAAACAAAGAGTTAAAGGGATGTTAGCTCCTTGGACTTTGGCACCACTTGGTAGGGAAGTGAACTAAAGAACCACTGCCAGAGATATGATGGGTGTGGATATTTCACTTATTTACTTATGTTACTATGTTTTCCTCAGCCAATAATAAAGTCTTTCCTTGCTTTAATTGCAGACCAAGTGTTTGCAAACAAGGAAGGATACCTAGCAAAGGCACTCACTTGCCCTATATTTCTGGTTTTAAAACCGAACCCTTGTTTCTGTCAGCACCACTTGACAGAAGTTGCACATCAAGCTAGTTCTTTTCAGCATGCTTTCAGCTCCAGTGAGACTACAAGAGGCACACGACACATTTTTCTGTTAAACCGTGCTCTGTAAGCTGCAATTGAACACAAAACCCAGGAATTATTTGTTCTCTACTCATTTGATAGCCTGTCCAAAAATACATAGGTAATCCCCACGACAACTGGTGATACGCCCAGTGGGCTGTAGTCAGCCGTCCTGTCACAGAAGCCGTGGGGAGCAGGTAATACCAACAATGAGTAGCGGCGTTTTTATTTGCTGGGAATTATCTATGTACCAGATGAGTAATTCTCACAATACCCCCATGGGATGGAAAAATATTTTCTCTGTTTTATAAGAAAGACTGCAAGAGAGACTTTAGTCCAGAATATTTAGAAAACCAACAAAAGCACTCTAGTGTAACACTCAGAAATTCCTTCCCTCTTGTATGTTCTGTCACTAGGACAGACCGTGTCCTAAAAATACACCCAAGTTGTGCAAACATACCCCAGTATCTTTCATAATTATCATGTGTTTGTTTCACCCCATTCTTATTTTAATAATGTCACAATAATATTTGCTCCTTTTTGCTTAGCTTTACAAATGTTTACAGTGCCTAAAAAGTAACTAATGATAATAAGGAATTTATATCACACAATAAATTAAGCAAGCTGATAGCAACACAGCTAGAATAGTGGGGAATGAGGAGAATACAGTTGAAACTATAGTTTATGTATTATTAACATGTATGTTGAGTGTTGCAGTACTTAATGTTAGTATAATAGAGTAAACAGCCTTTTCTCTCCAGGGACGTGAGATTTGTTGTTTTGGGTGAAATATTGCAGAAACCTGCTTTTGGCATGCAAACCATTTCTAAAGTCATAGCATCATAGAATCATTTAAGTTGAAAAAGATCCTTAATATCATCGCGTCCAGCCGTTAACCTAGCACTGCCAAGTCCACCACTAAACCATGTCCCCAAGCACCACATCTACCCGTCTTTTAAATACCTCCAGGGATGGGGACTCAACCACTTCCCTGGGCAGCCTGTTCCAATGCTTGACTGCCCTTTCGGTGAAGAAATTTTTCCTAATATCCAATCTAAACCTCCCCTGGCGCAACTTGAGGCCATTCCCTCTCATCTAATCACTTGTTGCTTGGGAAAAGAGACTCACGCTCAAGTCAAGGGGGATCCCATACACTTCCCCTACAGATGAATAAGTGCTTGCAACTGGTAGATCTGTTACATGCTTAGGGACAAGTACTCAAGAGTGGCCTTTATATGTTGACAAAATTTTGCATCCAGGCTTTTTTGTTCTCCAAAACCTCACTTTGTAGACATATGTTGTTTGTACTGACATTGCAGTTCATCTCCTGAGGAAAATTTGGGCAGTGGTCTATGCAAAAACAGTACCGGCACCCAATTTAGAGAACGTGTGTTTAGAGATGTGACGGTACCGTTTGGAAAGGGGTCCTACAGCTGTCATCTGAACTATAGTAATAACTTAGGTTATTACAAGAGATTGCAGGTAGCTACAGGCAGAGCACACACTGGTTGCGCTCTAGTGTGACGCTGAAGACTTGCATGTGTGAAGTGAGCAAAACTTCTTCTAGT